GACAGATGCAAGCTCTGGCTCGACTGACAAGGACTTTTCGGCCGTTGTTCCCAGCGTACACAATGTGCGCGCAGACATCTTCGAGAGATGCCACCTTGTCAGAGGCCGACAACGGAAAGGTGCCATCATCGACCCTGCAGCAGCTTTGGGAATCTGTGGCACTGCCGCGTCGTTGCAGCACAGTGGCGGCGACTTTCGGAGCTGCGCGGTCGCCCCTGGCGTTTGCAGTTTGGCTGGAATCATTGGTGAGCCTGCCGCTGGATTGAAACACGTGGCACTGTGGGCACAGTCTTCTCGTCGGGCGTTGGTTTGGCATGGCGACCTTTTCGGCCATGGCGGCTCCAACTGTCGGTCCTTGCTGCTGCTGTCTCCTCTCGTTCATTTTTGAGCACTATTTGCTCATTCTCTTACCGACGACGGCAGCGGGGCCCTCGTGCCGGGCGAGGACAGCTGCCCCTCGGACGTCCGTGCCATTGGAATGGCGCTCGCCGGCAGCAGTCGCGACTTGTTGCCGGCGGGCGAGCCTCGAAGTCAGCGGCGCGAGGGGGCAGTGGTCTCAGCTCATGCAGCGTGGGTGCAGAGGCGCGTTGTGGAGAATATCAACGCCAAGATTCTACATATAGATTTGGCGACTCCCATTCGATCTTGCGTCCGGGAAGGCCAGAGTTCAGCGCCGCGGCAGATGCAGTCGCAACGTCGACGTCGACGGCGCAGGACATCGGCGACGCGACTGGGCGGGGCAATGCGTCGCCATATGAAGCCGAGCCTCCAGATTGAGCGACGCGCAGTTCGGCGTCGTTGGCAGGCGCGACGGACAGGCGCGGTAGGAAGCGGCACTGGGGTGATCAGTGCTACGTCGAGGACGCTTTCCCTGTGTATTTTTCCGAGGAGGGCGCAACCTGGCATGCGCAGCGATGCAAGGACACCCCAGAGGATGTCTACGCCAAGACGGGCTTCGAAGTCGTAACTCCAGGCGGCTTCGACAGTTGGGCGCTCCAGGATAGCAGTTTCAGTTTGGCCTGGGCGGTTCCGGAGCAGTTCTCAGGATCAGGAAAACCATCGCTATCTGCAGCAAGATCAGGACTTGCAGTTTTGTCCTCTGACTGCCGCCACGGTGGGGGCTTCATGAAGAATGGCAGTTTGCGCGTGATGAGGCAGGCCCAAGTTGTTTCCGAGCCCATCGTGTAGCTATCGTCACCAGACAGCAGGTTGTGGGCAGCTCTGAGTAATCTGCGATGAGCTGGAGTTGCGGCCGCAGGCAGACATGCGTAGTTTCCCCCATTGGAATGGCTTTCTCACGACTACGTCGTTCAGGACTGAGAAGGACATGGCTGCGTCAATGGAAACGGATTTCGCTCTCAGATGTGGGCGCAGTCGCCGCGTAATTAGAAACAGGACATCGCGAACAGCAGGACCGGGCGATTTGATGGATGCGCCCATGGATGCCTGATTGCCAACGACGAGCCTTTCGAGAATTCCTACGGGCTCGACTCCAACATCCAGTTGAAGAGGACGGTGCGACGGTGCCCTGGACATGGAGCTCAGCGCCATGCTGTCGTCGAGGGCCCGCTGCCAGGCGCAGGTTCCGAGACGGCCGCGCAGACCGCGGTGTGCGCTCGTGCGATGTGCCGGGCGCTCATGAGCAATGGGAATTTCTTTCGCGCGGAGGTTAACTTGCGCTCTTCTTGTGTTGGCAACGCTCGTCTACAGCAGCGTGGACATTCATCGCGGCGCTCCTGGCGCTGACGCAGTGCGATCTCAGCTGCAACGCCCAAAGTGTTCTGTCGCTGGCGTGGAGGATTGCGGCTTGTTCCACCGTGCTTGTCGAGTTATGGCCAAGCCACTTTCTCATGGGTTCCGTGCGCCTGGCGCTCGACGAGCTTGGTTGGCGGTGGATGATTTTGAGGGCTACGCGTAGCGGTGGTTCATCGTCGCTGAGGGCGAAATGCGGCAGGGCGCTGGCGACTGGATCGGCTGGCGCGGTCGGTGCGTGGTGATGTTGCTCGAGAGGCCTCGTCCGATTATTTCGCGCTCAAGTCTTTGCGCCTCTTGCGGTTCGCCCTGGCCGATCGTGGTTATGAGCGTTGGTCATTTGCGAAGCGGTTTGGGCCAGTGCAGCGCGCGTTCGGGGCGTGCCTCTGGGGGCCGCGGCAGGCTTTCCGTCCGAGAACTGGGGGCGGGCAGCTGCGATGCACGCGGCAGCGTTTGGCGCGCGGCGGGTCACTGTGTGATGGGGAGCTTGCCGGGTCCAACCGGGCCCCCCTCGCCCGCGCGGCGACCCGCTGGCCGCGGCGGGCCAGATCGACGGCCGCCCGCGCCTCCGATCGGCGTGCCCGCGGGTGCAGTGTCGCAGAACCCGAGAGCTATGACGAAGATGCGTCCGATTGAGAGAGCTTCCTCCTGCTCGGCAGTACTCGCCTTCGGCGTGCTGGCGTTTTTTTTTTTTTTTTTGTTTGTCTCTCTTTTTTCTTCTTCTTTCTTTCTCCGGAGGGCTGGTGTTAGCCGCCAGGGGCGGTTCCAGGCGGTGCTCGCTTCCTCGGTGGTGCGCGTGAACAAGCCTGATGCCTGCGGGGTGGGCGGTGGTGCTCTACTCGCTCTTCTCCTGGCCGGTGCAATGTGCGCCGCCGAGCACGCCTGCGACCGCCTGTGATGCACTTCGAGGAATCGCCCAGGAGTCCTCCGAGCAGTGGCCCCCCAGTTCCCCCCTGCAAGGACGAATGTTCAGACTGGCGGCGACGCTGGATGGAGTGGCGTGTCACTCTTGTTCGTGCTCAAGAGCAACAGCCCATCTTCGCCGAGATGCTACAAACCATGGCGCTGGAGTTCTGTGCAGGCGCATGGGTGCTGAGCGAGGGCAAGTGCAAGGCCCTGGAGGACGAGCTGAGCGTCTTCTCTGATCACGTTCTGGAGTAACGACGCTCACTGCTTCGAGTACAATGCGAGCATCTTGGGAAATTATGGCCGCGCATCTACCTCACGCCTCGTCGTCTCGTGATCCTGGAGAGAATGGGCAATGTGTGTTCCAATCTCGGGGGTGGAAGGAGATTCAGACTCCGTCCGCGTCCCCCCCGACCGCAGTCCCATGGTGGTGGGCCCACCGCGCCAACCAGTCTCGAGCACTATGTCCGAGCGCGACCCTTCTCCTTCAGTCCTGCAACAAGGTGCTCTGAGAGGCGATCATCGGGACCTCTTCGTCGGCATCTCCGATGGCTCTGCTGGCGAGTCGCTCAGTGCGCCCCAGCTTGCCTTTCTATTTGGTGGTTGCGAGAACGGCGCGACAGTCAGGGCCTTCGTCCCGAACCACACCGAGCAGAGCAACCACAACTCAGGCGACTGGGCGCAGCCGCTTCCATGCCACCATAGATGGCACAACCGACGAGCTTCCGACATGTCTTTCCTAATGGCGCGCGCGAGATCCACGTGGCCACTGACGGCGAGCACAGGGCATACTTCAAATAACACTACTTCTATTCCATGGGCCCGCTGAGGGTCGGGGCCAGCTTCGGTTGGCGCCGTTAGCCGTGCGTCGAGTGAATTCGAATTGTTTCGAGATGTTCGTTCCTCCTCCTCTTCGCCAAGAGGACGAGACAAATGGGGATGAAAAGGAGGAGGAGGAGGAGGAGGAGGAGGAGGAGGAGGAGGAGGAGGAGGAGGAGGAGGAGAAAGAGAGGAGGAGAGGGAGGAGGAGAGGAGAGGAGGAGGAGGAGGAGGACGAGGAGGAGGAGGAGGAGGAGGAGGAGGGAGGAGGAGGAGAAACAGGGGCTGGAGGAGGAGGAGGAGGAAACGGAAAAGGAGGATGAGGATGAGGAGGAGGAAGTGGAGAAGGAGGAGGAGAAGAGGGGGGAGAAGGGGAATAAGAGGAGGAGGAGGAGGATCAGGAGGAGGAGAAGGAGGCGGAGGAAGGGAGGGAGGAGGAAGAGGATGATGATGATTGTGATGATGATGATGATGGTGGTGGTGGTGATAATGGTGATGCCAATGATGGTGATCATGACAATGGTGACGATGATGACAATGATGACGATGGTGATGCTGATGATGATGGTGATGATGCTGATGATTATGATGATGGTGATGATGATGATGATGATGATGATGATGATGATGATGATGATGATGATCATGCTGATGCTGATGCTGATGCTGATGCTGGTGCTGACGATACTGATGCTGTTGCTGATGATGACACTGATGCTTATTTTTATTATGATGATGCTGATGCTGATGCTGATGCTGATGATGCTGTTGCTGCTGCTGCTGCTGCTGATGATGATGATGATGATGATGATGATGATGATGATGATGATGGTGGTGGTGGTGGTGGTGGTGGTGGTGGTGATGATGCCCATGATGATGATCATGCTGCTGATGATGCTGCTGATGATGATGATGATGATGAGGGAGGAGGAGGAGGAGGAGGAGGAGGAGGAGAACGAGGAGGAGGAGGAGGAGGAGGAGGAGGAGGAGGAGGAGGAGAGGAGGAGAGGGAGGATGAGGAGAGGAGGAGGAGGAGGAGGAGGAGGAGGAGGAGGAGGAGGAGGAGGAGGAGGAGGAGAAGGGGGAGGAGGAAGAGGAGGGAAGGTGAAGGGAGTGGAGGGGCGGAAACAGACGGGTGGTTGTGGGGGACGTCGTGCTCCGCACCTTGATCGAAAACCCAGTGTGTTACACGATGCCCAGCACGGCCGGCCAGCTGGTGCATGCGCTCTGGCGGCCCGGTGGTTGATGCAAGGAGTGCAGGCCCTGAGATCCAATTTTGAAAAAATGGCAACAACGAAACAAGTCACGACAGGAGCTCTAGCCCCAATCGTTCTGCGTCGTTTTTCGAGCCGGATCGATTTGTGAGGGCCCAGGGGCCCCAAACTGGGCGACAACGCCCAGGGTGAACAAAATTGCAACGCCAGCGTCTCAGGGAGGGGCAGTCGGCCGAGAGCGTTGCTCTGCCCAGGTGTAGCATCCGTTGGGGGCGGGGGGGGTGCGCGGAGCCCGCGCGCGCGCGAGAGGCCGCGCCAGAAGGAAAGTCGGTCGCGAGGTCCGCCGCTGAGGACGAGGAGGACGGCTGCCGCGTGCTGGGCCGGCCCCGGGTGGGTGGGGCGGCGGAGGCCGTGGGCATCTTGCAGAGGCCCTGGCAGGGCCCGCCCTTGGCCCCGGGTCGGGCGCGCAGGCCTCCCTGGCGTCTGTTTGTTTGCTTGGTTTTTTGCTTGTTGGCCTGTCTGTTTGTCCCCTTCCCGAGCTGGGCCTTCGCTTCGAGTCCGCAGCGCCGCGCTCCACTCCATGCCGCTGCCCTCTCCTCCTCTTGCCTCTGTGCTCCGCATGCCCGTGTCGGCATACCTCCCTCACGCTTCGTGCTCCCAGAGAGAGAGAGAGAGAGAGAGAGAGAGAGAGAGAGAGAAAGAGAGAGAGAGAGCTCCACCCAGGCCATATTGGGGTGAGTGCATCCACATGTGGCTCCCTGCCGATTTGGACACGCTCCTCATACGTTTCGCGCCTCCACATGGGGACGTCCACATGCGCCTCGTCTCCCATTTCGTCACACACCTCACGCGTTCCCTGGTCCGCAAGAGAGTTCAGATATTCAAAAGATACAAGTTCGCTGTTGACAGGCACAGGGAAACAGTTTTTTCACGAGCGGCCCTTCATCGGGCCTTCTGTATGGATCGGAAGTTCGTGGTCTATCCGATTTTGAGCTGGTTTCCACCCGCCGCAGTGTGTGCAGCGTGCGGTGCCCCAGTGCAGGCATGCGTTGCCTGGCATCCTTGTTGATATTGGAGTCAGACCCCACCTGGCTTGGAGCAGTTTCGCCAGTTGTGAGATATGCAGAGGAAGTGTTCGCGAATCGCGCCAGATCCTCCGACAAGCCGCTCGCTTTCAAGACTCGCAGGATTGCGTGTCTCTCTGCTCTCGAGGTACCTGGCTCGCGGGTCAGTTGGCGTCGTGTCACGGGGCCTTTGTCGGCAGCGCGGATGTGTCTAAGGAGGATCGGGTGGAGCATGAGCAGTTTCGAGAAGTTGGTGAATGATGTTCTGGAGGAACTTATTATTGCATCATGCTGGCCTCCCCAAGCAGATGTTCGAGGATGAAGTCCTCGGACAGATCGAAAGAGAAGGAGGACACATCCATGACGTCTGGGGGAGAGTATGTTACGACGTGGTTTCAGCGCAGCTCAGGTCATCGAAGTTTTCAGGCTTCGAGAAAGGATGCGTCAGGTGCCTCACGTGCTGGGCCCTCTGGACTCAGGATCGCGCGATCCACCCCGCCTACGAGCTGCCATCGGCTTAGTGTGAGCTTCTGCAGCCTTCATCCTGATAGTGCTCGGCCTGGGTCTGTCCCGCCTGTGCTGGCCAGCGGGCCGATCTGAGATCGACGAGGTCGGTTCTTAGATTGGCTGATGCGGTGGGTCTTGGAGGCGCTAGGGAGGTCTTGCTGTTCACCGAGGGCCTGTTTCCTCATCCTGGAGATCTCCTCCCCCGACCCAGGTCTGACGGGCAAGCTGTTTCCATTCGCGGTTCTGGGGTTCCTGGGCTTGAGCCATCATTCGTGAGCTGGGTAGGGCGTCTTGGGGATCTGTTACTGTAGACTCGGAGGCTCAGGTGAAGGTTTCGGATCGGGGCCCAGTGTGGCCCCTCTCCCGCAGACCCCACACGATGTGGAGTCTTGGGCTGTTGCCATGGCTGTTTCCAAGTGCGTCGGGCCCGCCAGAGGGCTATCGGATTGCTCTTGCGTTGTGGATAGTTTTTTTGGCCTCCAGGGCCAAGAAGTTTCCTCACAAATTAACGTGCTCTGGGACCATGATCCTCACCTCTTCGCCTCATTTAACCGACGTCAAGAGGGTCGATGCTCATGCCACTAGAGACTCACTCCTCTCTTTCAGATCTCGCCGCGAAGTCTGAGCTGCGGGCTCTCCCGGAAGGCTTCGCAGCGGAGCCGCATGAGGTGAGCAGGCAGATTTCAGGAACTGACGCCGTCTGTCTCCTGCTCGCCTGTTTCCTGCCCCTCCGGCCTGCCTTGGGACCTCAGGGGCTGTCCTCTGGTTCCTCGGGCCCCAGTCCCCAGGTCCAAAGCCCCCGTGTGAAAGGGGCTGCATGCGTGGGAGTTCTGCAGGTCTTACTGGCGCTGCAGCGCTTGCCTAAAAGATAATAGGCCGAGTTCGTTCGCCATTGTTTTCGGTGAGTCGTCGGAGCCTCCAGACGAGGCGTGCTCTGGAGAGGCTCCGTCCAGCCTGAATGCCATCGCTGCGAAACGCCAGAGGCTGCTGAGCTTCAGTGCAGCGACGACTCCCCTCTTTATTGTTAGTGCTGTGTGCAAGGCAGTTTCGACCCTTGGCCCGCTGGCATTGCTAGACAAGCCATGCTCACGCCCTTCTCGCAGCAATCTCCAGATGTGAAAATCCTGAACCCTCAATGGCGAGCGCCCCGGGCTCAGAGGTGTGAACCTTGCGGCTTTTCCTGCGAGGTACATGGTGGTGGCGTACGCGGTGGACCCCCGTGTGGTCCAGTGCGCCGCCCGCCTTCGTCCTTCCCCAGGCATTCCCACCAACAGAAATCCTCCTCTCCTCCTCCTCCTCCTTTTCTGCCACAGCCATTTTGGCTCAAGCCGTTGCGCGCAAGGCGTCGGCTCTGTTCGGCAGTGCTCTGCTGGCGGTGCGCCCAGGGATCAGCCCCGCACCTCGCGCCATGGCCCCCAAGGCGAAGGCGGCGGGCAAGGCGAAGGCGGCGCCCAAGGCGAAGGCGGCTGCCAGGGTCGCGGCCCCGGAGCAGATCAGGGGCCAGGGCGGCAAAGAGGAAGCCAAGGCCGCTGCCAAGATGACTTCCGCCGAGTGGAAGGAGCTGCAGAAGGGCATGAAGGAGAAGTGGCCGCAGCCCAAATACATCACGGACAACCCTGAACCAGAGCGGTCGCACACGTCTTATCGCGACGAGACCTACGAGCTCATCACGCGGTGGATGAGCGAGACCAAGATCGAGTACCGCCCCCATGCAAAGGCTCCTGGCACGAAGAGCCACGTCCGATACGAGAAGTACGCGATGGCGAAGACGGTCGGGGAGGCCCTCGAGCTGGGCAGCTGGCCGGCTGACTGGTGCTGGGACTACGAGCGGGGATTCATCAAGGTTTTGGGTCCAGTGCGCACTGATCCCATCGACCCGGTGAATTGCTTTGACACGACGGCGCTGACCGACGTCGACAGGTGCATCTACAGGTGGTCGGTGAAGGAGCTTGCCAAGAAGTGTGGACTGAGCCTCCAGGACCTTCGGGACAACACAAACACAGGTGAGAGCGCCATCATGCGAGCGCACCGGCTGGTGTCTCAGAGGACCGCGAAGGCGGCGCTGCTGGCGGCCAAGAAGGATGGCCGCTGCATCACGGACGGCGAGTTACTGAAGACTCTGCAGGAGTGGGGGTTCGCCCGCAACCCCAACCGCAACAATGTCATGCCCGACGGCCGCGACTGGGTGTGGAGCGATACCCTTGGCCTCATGCGGGACCGCACGGGCGACATCCACCTCACGAAGGCCACGACGAACTACCCCGAGGTCACGGAGATAATCAACAAGTGGCTCACGGACAGGCTCCCTGCCGAGGCGAAGGGCTTCAAGTTCACCTCCCTGAACCTCAACAAGAACTACGCGGCCAGGATGCATCGGGACGGGAACAACTTTGGCCCGTCGATGATCGCCGCTTTCGGCGGCTTCCAGGGGGGGGAGCTGAACTACTGGTGCGAGGACAACAAGGAGGAAGGCCTCGACCAGCTCGAGGGCAGGCCCAAGGAGTCGCTCAAGCTCGGACAGGGGCTGGCCCTGTTCAACGGCAGTCGGGTGGACTGAAAGGGGTAGGGGGGCGGGGAGAGGGGAGGTACGCTCGTGTCGTGCCGATGTGGCTGATCCCAGCGCGGGCGTTCAAGGCTGGACTCTGGCAGTGACCCAGAAGCCGCCATTATGGAGCGATCTGACGATCGCAAAGCCGCCGATGGTTCAGGATCGAGCGAGCCCCGTGGTGGCCCTGTTCAACGGCAGTCTGTCGGACTGAACGGGGTAGGGGGTGGGGAATGGGTCAAGCGAGCGATCAAGATCGAGCGATCAAGATCGAGGGACAGGGGGTAGGGGGTGAGTAGGGGTAGTTCAAGATCGATCGATCCCCGTGGTGTCAGAAGCCAACGCGCGGGGTGGTCACGACACGGACCGGCTGTGAACGAACACCGCCGCACGCAGCCGCCCCGGGCTCCACCGCTCCACGCGCCCTCTCTCCCGACACCAGGTACATATGGTCGCGCCTCTCGCCTCGAGGCGCCCGAGAAGCCAGGTGCTTGCAAAGCAGCGGATTCCAAGCCCCCTCCCTCCTGCCGATCCCTTGGTGGTTGGCCGGGGCCGCGGTGTTTTTTCTCAGTCGGGCAGGGCGGCTTGTAGATACTCCCGAAGCTGTTCATTGAGCATCTTGCTCCCATTCGGTGGCCCCCCAGCGAGGGGGCCCAGACGGCGCCGTTGTTCTCGAAGTTCCCTCCCGCCCAGTCGATCCGATCCTGCTGATCCCCCGACTGTCGTCTGCCCCGAGCTCCCCCCCCTTCTCTGCTGCTCCCCCCGTGGTCGCCATCCCCGAGGCAACAGCGCCCACTCGGTGGAGAAGTTCGAAGGCGAGCGATACTCGGTGGTCTACTTCACGGCGGGCTGCCACGCGAAGGCACCCCCCGAGGATCGGGGGAGGCGCGCAACGCCTTTGTCGGGGGCAACGTCAGGGGGGGAGAAGGCTCAGGGGAGGGGATGCATCGACCCCCAATCGCCCATTCATTGCCGATTAGGGGGCCCGATAGCCCACCCCGCTCAGGAACTTGCGCGTTCGCTATCGGGGGCCCATCGCCGATATATCGGCGATGCATCGCCGATTCCAGGTCGACCTTTCCTTCGCTGAGCTGGCCACTCCCTGATGTTGCCCCTCACTCTAGCAGGGGTGGCGGTGCTTACTGCGACTGAGGCGGTGGTGATGGTTGTCGTGGTGGTGGTGCTTTGAGCTCCAGGTGGGGATGGAGATTCCTGTGTCTGGTGTCTCGTGTCGCGGTGGGTGGGGGGCCACAGCGCCGACCCAAGAAGTCCGCGCTGACCTCCGACATTTTGGGTTTATGCCAGCTTCTCCTCCTCCTCCTCCTCCTCCTCCTCCTCCTCCTCCTCCTCCTCCTCCTCCTCCTCCTGCGAGAGGACCAGTCCACCCTCCGGGAGCTCGGGATGCCCTACCCCTCGCCAGACGAGGAGCAGTTCGCGCTCCTGCGGCGCCCGCGCGGATATTCCCAGCCGGGCAAGGATCACGGAGACTGGCAGCCGCACGCCGGCACCGGCCCTGGCCAGCGCCCACCTCTGGCCCTGGTGTGGTGCTCATGGGAAACGTCAGGGGGGGATGGTCTCCGGGGGAGACGCATCGACCCCCGACACTTCCCATCGATCGCCGATAGAGGCCCGATACCCCACCCCGTCCAGGTTCGCGCGGATTTCGCTACCGGGGGCCTATCGCCGATGGAAGCTCGACGTTTCTGCCCCTGAGCTGGTCCCCACTCCAGTCGAAAAATAGTCAAGGGACGATTTTGTGACCATTTTTGACTATTTTGGGGCACTTTTTGGACTATTTTCAATTTTCCGTCCAACATCCGCCAGCAGGGGGACATGCCCGACCTGAGGCCAGGGGGCCCCAGGGGGCTGGCCCGTCCAGGGCCCGGCGGCGGCGTGCAGCTGCCGCCTCCTCTGCCGAGGACGCGGCGCCCGAGCCGCCTGCCTTCCGCTACTGGCCGCGCGCCGCGCTGGGGCAGGAGCTTCGCGCCGGCCAAGGGGGCGAGCCCAGAGGTCCGGGGATCAGTTTTTGCCACCCGGCGGCTTTTCTCCTGGAGGTCGGCTTCCGGGGCCCACTATCGGGCCAGGGGGCCACGAAGCACGGATCTGAGACGAAGAGTCGAAGAGCCAGCCCCGGGGGAGGGGTCGGGACCTCTTGGGCCGCGGATGGAAGAGATCATCTTTGCGGAGGTCGGGGAACGGTCAGCCACGCGCAGAGGGGGGTGGGGGGAGGGGGGGGGGCTTCTTAGAAGCACCCCTGCTTCTTAGAAAGGCGCGGACCTTCTCCATAGATGTAAGGCTGGCGCCTTCTAAGAAGCAGCCTCCTTCTAAGAAGCCCCCCCCCCCCCCCACCCCCTTGTGCGCGCCGCTAAAGCAGGTCCTGAGGGAAACGGGTCCTGAGGTTTTTTCCCCGTTCTCGGGCCCACGGGGCCCTCCACGGGCCCCCAGGGGCCGTCAGAGGACCGGTCAGGATGCAAAGCTCGTCCCGTTTCCTACGGGACCCGTTCCCCCCATGCTGCGTCGCGGGGCCCAGGCGCTTCGACGCCTCGTTCTCCTCGAGGCGTGGGCCCCCCCCGTGCCTCTCGACTTCTTCGCGGGGGGCCGGGTCTTCCTCCCGACTGGTTCCCTGGCGGTCCTGGGGCCCGAGGCTGGGCGGGAGAGCACGCGTTTTTTTTTTTGTTTGTTTTGCAGCCGCTGGACGCCTGGCGGGGGCGAAGGCTTCCAAGCGTCTGCTCCAGGTGGCTCCGGGCGGCATTGATGGGGCCGTGCACCGCGTCGGCGAGAGATGGTCGGGTCGTGCGGCGGGTGCTGCTTCTGGCGTGCGTCGGGGGCGCCACAGGCCGTCGGGCGGGGCGCCAAGGTCGGGCGAGGACCTGGTCAGGGGGCCCTGCCGTCTCGAGGCGCCCCGACCAGACCTGGATGGCCGCCTCAGCTTGGGTGTCTTTCCTGCTCGGGCTTCCTTCTCCGTGACCTCCTCCTTCTCCGCCTTCTCCACCGCCTCCCTCCTCCTTCCTCCGTCCTCCCCCTCCTTCGTCCCTCCCTCATTCCATCTAGCCCTTCGTCTCTCCTCAGGATGCCCCCGTCCAGCCGAAGAAGTTCACGGACGAGGAGCTGAGGGCTTGGGAAGACAAGTGCGTCTTCATCAAGCAGAACCCTCGCCGGTCCGCGGCCGAAGGCGCCCGTTTCCTCCCCCCTCCCTCCTTTGTTGCTGTCGTTGGCCCCCCCCCCTCCATCCCTCTTCCTCATGGGGAACTCCTCCCAGTCGCAGCGACAGAAGTGTCGTTGGACCGGACTCGGTGTTCCGCCCGAGACTTCCTCACAGCTTCTGATCTCAAAACTAGGAGCCTCCAACAGTTTCGCGGATGGAGGGCGTGCGGTTTTCAAAATTGGGCTCTCGCCAGGGCACCGCGCACACTTGTTTCTTAAGTTTCCAGCGGTTGCACGGATGTAGCACGTATGGTAAATCAACATGCTGCTCTCGCCATGGGGCCGCGCGCGTTCGACTTAAAACAATAAAAGCCGCTAGCTACACGCTTGGAGCGCAGTTCCTTTTCAAAATGGGGCTCCCGCTTGCGACTCCCTGAGACCTTCGGACTTGTGCAATGCTTGCGCACATTGACGGCATATCCTTTTCAAGACAGAACTTTCTTGGATTTTGCGACCCTACCTTTTACAATTCACTCTTATAGTCTGGAAAGATGGCAGGTCGATCCTTTGCCCAAACAAGGAATCGCTTGAAGGGCGGGCCCATGGGGTATTCGTCTGTCAAGTGGGCCGCTTCCCGTAGTGCAAGGAAGTACTTGTAGCGGCTTATGGCTTAGGGGCTTGGGACTGGATGGTGTGTGTTGCAGCATCGTTGATGCATTCCTCCCTCCTTCCTCCCTCTCCTCCTCCTCCTCCTCCTCCTCCTCCTCCTCCTCCTCCTCCTCCTCCTCCTCCTCCTCCTCCTCCTCCTCCTCCTCCTCCTCCTCCTCCTCCTCCCCTCCCCCTCCCCCTCCCCCTCCCTCTCTCGCTCCTGCTCCCTTCTCCCTCCTCCTTCTCCTCCCCGCCCCCTCCCTCCCTCCCTCCCTCCCTCTCGCTCCATCCTCCCTCCTGCCTTCTGCAACCTCCCTCGCTCCCTCACTGCCGCCCTCGTGCTCTTTGTCCTCCTCCCTCCCGCCCCGCCCCGCCCCGCCCCGCCCCTACCTCCTCCCAACTCCTCACTTCTCCTCGATCCTCCCTACTCCTCCTCCTCTTCCTTCTTTCCCCCTCCTCGGTCCTTTCCTCCTCCTCCTCTGCTCCCTCTCCCTCCCCTCTCTCACTCCTTCTCCTCTTCCTCGCTCCTTCTTCTCCTCCTTCCTCCTCCTCCTCCTGCTCCCCTTTCCTCCTCCTCCTCTCCTCCTCCTTTCTCTCCTCTCCTCCCTCTCTCGCTCCTCTCCACCTTCATACTCCTCCTCCTGACTCCTCCTCTCCTATTGCTCCTCCTCCTCCTCTCCTTCTCCATCTCTTCTCCCTTCTCCTCCTCCTCCTCCTCCTCCTCTTCCTCCTTGTCACTCCTCCTCACTCCTCCTCCTCCCTCCTCCTCATCACTCCTCCTCTCTCACTCGTTCTCCTCCTCCTCCTTGCCACTCCTCCTCTTTCTTGTCCTCCACCTCCTCCTCCTCCTCCTCCTCACTCCCCACCCTGAAGGCAGGGTATTTCTCCAGTCTTCTCCTCCTCACTTCTCCTCAGTCCTCACTCTTCCCTCCTCCTCATCCTCCTCCTCCTCCTCCTCCTCCTCCTCCTCCTGCTCCTCCTCCTCCTCCTCCTCCTCCTCCTTATCCTTTCGAGTTGCGAGCCCTCGGACACAGCTGCATTGTGATCGACTTCGATGACCACAGTTTTGCCTGTGTGTGTCGCGCCTGTCACGCTTTCAGCACTGGAGGCCAGCTTCGACGCTTGTCCAAGACTTGCGTCGGCCACCCTCCAGACCGCAGCGAGTTTTTTTCGCGGCTGAGCAAGGGGCTCCATCCTGACCACAAGAGGAAAGGGGCCAGAGCTGACTGCGAAACCATTTGCCCCATTTAGTTGGGGTCTGACGGCTGTGGATGTCAACATCCTCCTCCTCCCCTCCTCCTCCTCTCCTCCTCCTCCTCCTCCTCACTCCTCCTCCTCCTCCCCTCCTCCTCCGCTCCCTCCTCCTCCTCTCCTCTCCTCATCCTCATCCTCCTCCTCCTACTCCTCCCCTCCTCATCAGTCCCTCCTCCCTGCTCCTCCTTTCTCCTCCTCCCCCTCACTCCTCCTACTCCTCATCCTGCTCCTCATCTCCTACTCCTCCCTCCCCCATCCTCCTCCTCCTCTCCTGCATACTCCTCACTCCCTCCCTCCCTCCCTCCACCCTCCCTCCCTCCCTCCCTCCCTCCTTCCGACTCCTCCTCCCCACTCGCCTCCTCCTATCCTCCTCTTCTCCTCCTCCTCCTCCTCCTCGTCACTCCTCCTTCTATCCTCCTTCCTCCTTCTCCTCACTGAGGCAGGTAACTCTCCTTTCCTCCTCCTCCTCAGTTCATTTTCCCTCCTCCTCACTTGCTCCTCCTGCCCTCCTCCTTCTCTCCTCTCCCTCCTCCTCATCAAAACCTCCCTACCTCCTCCTCTCGTCTCTTCCTCCTCCTCCTATCCTCCTCCTTCTCCTCATCCTCTCCTTCCCACTCCTCCCGCCACTCCCATGGGGAAACCTGGAGAAAATGATACCCCTACTCCCTGGACCTCTCCCGGGGTGCGCCCTGACCAGGCTTCCGAGTCGAGGGAACGAGGGCCTCCTCGGAGGCCCCAAACAGGTGTAAACGTGGCACCGGGAGCGGTATCCCCAGACATGCGAAGTCATGCTTGTTCGCAATGTGGACACCCGTAGGTCTAGACCCCTTCACCAGGACCAGTTTTCCATCCCAGGCCTTTTGACGGTCCCCGGGCCCAGTGACGGCCCCGAGGGTCCGAAAACCAAACAAAAACAGTGTTCCGTGGTGATTTATTTAATCGCTTCGCTCATTCCGCCGGCCCATATTGTCGCACCGTTGTGGGCTAGCCGAGTTTGGGGGGCCGTTTTGGGGCCTTTGGGGGCCTCTTTTGGGCCTCTTGGGCGCCTCTTGGGGCGTCTTGGGGGCCTCTTGGGGGCCCCTTGGGGCCTTTTTGGGGCCTCCTGGGCGCCTTCTGGGGCGGAGGGCTCGATTTTTCAGTTCTCGGTTCCCCTCTTGAGCCCCTCTTGGGCCCGTCTTGGGGCCTCTTGGTCCGTCTTGGGCGGCACTTGGGCCGTCTTGGGGGCCCTCCTGGGCCGTTCCGGGGCCGTCTTGGGAGCCTCGTGGGCCGTCTTGGAGCGGTCTTGGGGGCCTCTTGGGCCGTCTTGGAGCGTCCAGAAGCCGAAAAAGCCAGAACGCAAAGAACATCGAAAAAAACAATGAAAATCAACGATTTTGGCCTCTTGGGGCCCTCTTCGGAGGCCTCTTGGAAGGCCCTTGGGGCGTCTTGGAGGCCTCTTCGGCTGTCTTGGGGGTCTCTTGGGCCGTCTTGGGGTCATCTTCGGCGCCTTGGAGCGCTCTTTGAACGTCTCGGGGGCCTCTTGAGCAATCTTGGGGCCTCTTGGGGCACTCTTGGCGCGCTCAGGGCGGCCTGAGAGGCCGCACCCAGAAGGAAAACCATCTCTGAGTTGAACCGGGCGGGACCTTCCCAGGCGGCGGGCGGGGTACTTTTCGCCGGGGGACCCCCAGGGGCCGCCCCGCGCGCTCGAACTAGTACAATACAATTGTTAACCAGTTACCGGAGATCTTAGCACGCCTCTGGCCCGTTGGGCCGGCGAATTCGCGACGTGATTTTCTCACCCGCCTTTTCCCGCCTCCCGCCTCCCGCCTCACCACTCAGCTGCCCTGATACGCCCGTCTTGAACCGCAACGCGTAGCGTGTTCAAAACGTACGGGTTACACACTGTGCGTGTTGGCTCAGCGCGTGTTGGTCCACGTTTTGGCGAACCTATGGCGCCAGACCTACGTTTTCAATCTGCGTGATGAGGCCTGTGTCAACACGCTGTGGTTTGCGTGTTGTCGGCGCCGCCCAAGCATATTCATGTTTTCTTATGTGCGCCCGCCACGAACGGGCGATGCGCACGCTCGGAAATCTTCCAGTACAAGCTCCGTGGCTGGCGCTTTCTGGCCATGCCGCTCGGGAACTGACATGCTGCATAGTTCTGTACTGCATGTTTGGGTCGGGCGTGTGCCCCCAACATCTGCACATGCTACTACCATGTCCTGATGCGTCCCATGTTGCCAATCGGGGCAGCGAAGCGGCTCAGCCCGGCCCCCCTCGGTGCCAGCGGCAGCCTCGAGACGCCCGAGAAGGCGCAGGCCGACCAGCCGTCGGCCAAGAGGGCGGGCGACGCGGTTGCGGACGGCCAGGCCAAGCGGCAGCGCAAGACGGCCGCGGGCGCCTGAGGGCGCCTGGGGCGGCGGCCGTCGTCGTCGTCGTCGTCGTCGTCGTCGTCGTCGTCGTTGAGGAGGAGGAGGAGGAGCATGGGATGAGCATGAAAAGGATCAGTGTCCGGAGCGGCGGGAGGAGGACCGTGGGGGAGGACCGTGGAGGAGGAGGAGGAGGAGTAGGAGGAGGAGGAGGAGGAGGAGGAGGAGGAGGAGGAGGAGCTTGGGATGAGCATGAATAGGACCAGTGCCCCGAATGGCAGGAGGGCGGTGGAGGAGGAAGAAAAGCGAGAAGTTCATTTTAGAAAGTGACCTCTCTCTGTCTGTGTAGTGATGAGAAAGTGTAGTGACTAAAGCGCGCAGCGCCCTAGCGAGAGCCTCATGCCGAACAAGGTTTACCCTCCATCGGTGTAGGCATTCTATGTTTTTTGCAACTATTTCGCGCGGCGTCAGGGCGAGAGTCTGATTGTGAACAGCGTCCGCCATCCATCCGTCAGGCTGTCCGGAACTTCGAATCGACGGCGCCACGGCGAGAGTGTCATTTTGGGAAATACGGGCCTCCATGTCTATAGGTGTTTGACATTTTAAGCTTCACGATCGCACAAGCAGCGTAGAGATTTGAAGCGAAAGGCCCCGTCCGCTCTGCCTACCGACACGCTGGGTGGTGCGACAACGAGGATGCTCTTATAAAGGTAGAGGATGGAGGAAAAGGAGCAGGAGCAGGAGGAGAAGCAGGAGGAGGAGGAGGAGGAGGAGGAGGAGGAGGAAGAGGAGAAGGAGGAGGAGGGTGAGGATGCGGGAGAGGAGGAGGAGGAGGAGAGGAGGAGGAGGAGGAGGAGGAGGAGACGGAGGAGGATGAGGATGAGAGGAGGAGAAGGAGGAGGAGGAGGAGGAGGAGGAAGAGAAGGAGTTCGTTCATTCAGGGGGAAGGGGACATGTGATTGTGATGGTGATGGTGATGGTGATGGTGATGATGGTGATGGTGAATGGTGATGGTGATGGTGATGGTGATGGTGATGATGATGATGATGATGATGATGATGATGATGATGATGATGATGATGATGATGATGATGATGATGATGATGATGATGATGATGATGATGATGATGATGATGATGATGATGATGATGATGATGATGATGATGATGATGATGATGATGATGATGATGATGATGATGATGATGATGATGATGATGATGATGATGAGGAGGAGGAGGAGGAGGAGGAGGAGGAGGAGGAGGAGGAGGAGGAGGAGTGAGTGAGAAGCCGACCTTTTTCCGGCTCTGTCCCGGTCCGGCCGCCACACGCGAGTGGACTGCGCCGCCGCTGCCGTGGGTGCCCCGCCGCGTAGCACAGCTACGTCTGCGGAGCGGGCAGCGGCTCCCGCCAGGTCCGGGGCTCTCGCGCGCGCGAGTGGGCGAAATGGCTCCTCCTCCTGCGGGGTCTGGGCTGCTTGAGCGCTCCGTCGCCGCCGTCGTCGCCGCTGCCGCTGCCGCTGCCGCCAATGTCGCCGCCGCCACTGTCGTCGCGGCCGCCGTCGCTGCCGCCGTCGTTGACGCCGCCGCCGCCATCCGCAAGGTCGGGAGCTTCGGGATAGCGCGTCGCTCTGTAGACTCTCGCCCACGACGCTTCGGCGCGACACGCTGCCCTTCTTCCCATTCCCAATCGTCCACGTCCCGAGCATTTCCGAGCCTCCTACCTATCTGCTCGCAAGGCATAGCGTGTCGCCAGGCCGCCGTGGCGACACGCTATCCAAGTCTCCTCACCGTAAGCGGTGGGCGAAGACCGCTTCGGCCCGTTCGAGGCCCTCGGGCGCGGCGCGTGAGGCGGAGGCCTCGGAGCGTCTTGGCCGCCTGGCCCTCTCACGCCTGCTGCTTGGGTGAGCTGAGGGGCATCCATGGGGCCTCTTAGGGGCTTCCGTGGTGCTCCCCACGGCACGGGAAAGCGGCGCACCCCCCCTTTCCAAGATCTGGCTCGGAAAACGACATACAGTCAAGATGCCGAAGTAAGGAACATGTTGGATTCGGAATGGGCTGGATGTTCCTCAGGTCCTTCCATGGCTGTTCCTCTAGCCCTCGTCGTGAGCGAAGGCGTTTTTGGGGCATTATCTTGCGTTCCTTACTTTGCATTCCTCATTTCGCGTCTCTTATCCAGCGTTACCTTTTCAGCGTTCCTTATTTGGCGTTCCTCTCTTAGCGTTCCTCATCTCAGCGGCCCGACTGTATTTCAGCGTTCCTGATTTCAGCGTTCCCCATGTAGCGAAGGGGCTTCGCTCCTTACTTGGCGTTCTCTATTTCAGCGGCCCGACTGTAGAAAGAGGGGGACGGAAGAGGTGCGCTCTCGACCCGCGAATCAAAAACAAAAGACTGTAGAAAGAGGGGGGGTCTCAGGGCTCTGGTTGCGATCTCCCACGCTGCCGCATGTTTTCCGCGGCGCCGGACCTCAGCGGGTGTCCAGAACCTTCTCCAGGGCATTCTGGTCTGGGTGGCGCCCAGGGTGACACCAGGGCAACCAGGAGAACCCCCTTCGACGGACGGCTGCGGGTTCCTCGGGCCCGCCCATGTTCCGGCTCATCAGCAAGTCTCTGCTCGGGGGGCCTGGCAGGGGCAGGCCCGGGCTCCTGGCGCGAGCCGGCGCCGGCGGCCTCTGGGGCAGCGCTTGGGAACGCTTGCTCAGCGTGTCGCTCCGCAGGTCTTGGCCCACCGTGCCTCGGTGCGGCACGCCAGCCGCGTCCTGGTCCCCGCCCCGAGCCTCTCCGGGCTTCCCGCCGCGCGGCGCGGAGCGACACGCTGTCCCTCTGCCAGGCGTAGCGTGCCGCCAGGGCCGCCGCCGCGACACGCGGAGCAAAATTTCCCAGCCGCAGGCGCTGGCGGCACCTGGATCTGGTCGGGCCAGGCAGGGGCCCTCGCGTGGCGCAGAGAGCAGCGTTGGCGGCACCCGGGGCCGGTGGCAGGGGGCATCCGGGGCTAACGGGGCTGGGCAGCGTCGAGGGGGCGGTGGCGGCGCAGACGTCGTCGTCGTCGTCGACGTCGTCGACGTCGTCGACGTTGTCGTCGTCGTCGTCGTCGTCGGCGTCGTCGTCGTCGTCGTCGTCGTCGTCGTCGTCTCAAACTCGGGCTTTTCTGGAGGTTCTCGTGGCCACGGCTGGACGCAGCTCTGAAAACTGGCCAGAATGGTTTCTGGGAGGGGTCCGGGAACCGATTCTGAGAGCGCGGCACCCAGGGGCTTGTAGGAGCTGCTGGCTAGTGGCGCTGGCAGAATCCAGGGCTTGTGGAGCTCGTGCCCACGCTCTCCGTAAGCCGAAGATCCCAGATAGTGGGTAGTTCTTTATAGTGAGCCCCTCAGTGCAAGCGCACATTGGGGAAACCTTATACCTGGATTCCAAGGAGCGTTGGGCATGAGGCTTGGAATGGGTTCTTGCTGAAGAGGGGGACGAACTTATGCGCCTAAGGTGCTTGGCCCCCTAGGGGCTTTCGCGCCGTTGCTGCTTTGCAAGACCTGGGACCAAGTGCAGCTCGGCAGTCAGAATTTCCATTGGTTTTGTTTCGTGCTTGTATGAACCTAGGTCGAACTCAGATTGTAGCCACACTGCTCTGGAACTTCGTAGCTGCCCGCCGGCCACCTCGCGCATACACCAGAACGAGTCTGCTCGTCACCCTGTGGCAACCTGGTGAACACCCAGCTGGACCCTCGCAAGCACCGCGCTGATGCCCTGCATCTGCCCCATGCTGATAGCATAGCCACCTCCTGTATGCCGACTGGCGACCCCCCACGAAGCTGCTTCATCCTCATGACGATACCATGGCTTTGCCGTGGCCACCTGTCGGCCAGCGCGTGCCTTTCAGGCTCCTTGGCATCCGCTTCACAGCTGCGCCGTGGCCACCGCGACTCTCGAACTATGGCCTGCCTGCATCAGTGTTGCGTTTTTGAGCTTCTGCTCGAGGTTCTGCCAGGATTGTTGTCGACCTCTTGCAGGTTCAGTTTGGCGACTGTGCAGACATGCTGCCTCTTCGGCGAGGGTGGTTGGACGAGGCCAGGGCGCTGTTGCCAGCCAGCATCAGCCATCTGCCGTCCACCAAGTGTCAATCCCCTGCATGTCCCTTTTATTTGTGCGTCTGCCTCAGATCTGATATCGAGCACCAGATTTCGCTGCTGTATTCGGTATTCCTCCCAAGGAAGAGGAAGAGGAGGAGGAGGAGGCGGAGGGAGAGGAGAAGTCGCCGAAGAAGGCCGAGGTGAAGCCAAAGGCAGAGGCAGAGGTTGCTGCCGCCACTGAAGTTGACAATGAGGCCGACGAGGAACCTCACATCGTTCGGTTCTACAGTCAACCCGCATAGTAAGAATGATCGACTTTCCAATGTTAGCCTTGCATCCTTTCCCTACGGTCCATCCTTGGCCGCTTTCGTCGGCCGCGCCCCGCTCGCACAGTGTCGACATGGCCTTACAAGGCCCTTGCATCCGTACCGTGCGTCCTTATTGTACGGGTTGACTGTATTCAATATTGGGTGTTCTAGTTGTTGCCGTTGCTCCTGACCTCCCTCTGGTTTGGGTCCTCGCTTTGAGCCCGCATCGCCGCGCTTCTCGCCCCTCCGCCTCGGCTCTTCGCATGCCCCCGTCGGCACATCCCTCGCGCGCTTCGTGGCCAGGCAGGGGGCCCCACGTACGGCCTCAGTGGGCGCAGACGAATGCCCTCCCCGTATTCACTTCGGCACGCCCCTCGCGAGGACCTTGGCCCCACAGGGACCTCCACCTGCGCTCTCTCTCGGTGGGCGCCAGAACGCCCGGCGTTCTGGCGCCCATGTGGGAGCGCCCCTCTCGAGGGTCCGCGGTCCCAAAGGGAGCTCCACCTGCGGCTTTTCTTCATGTGCGCAGACGCGTGGAGTCCCCGCGTCCACTGCAGCACGCCCATGACGCAGGTTCTGGCCCCACAGGCAGTAATCTCACCGACGGAGACAGTGGGCGCAGACACAGGGCGTCCTCGCGCCCAGCTCGGCACGCCCCTCGCGAGGATCGTGGCCCCGTTGACGGCCCCACCTGCGGTCTCGGTGGGCGCAGGCGCCTGGCGCCATCGCGCACATCTCGGGATTCCTTTTTTGCTTTTTTTGATAGGGGTCACCACCATGAATTTGCAGAAACGGTTTTCGCTAGGCCAGGGGAATGCCACATCCGCGCTGCCGAGCGAACCCCTGCAGCACTCAAATGCCGTATCCTGTCTTCGAGTTGTCGTCCGCCCATGCGTTCCCGGTGGTCTTGCGCCTACTGCTGTTGCAGCTCCTCCCCCTGCGGATACTCCGTCCGACGTCGGTGCGTCTGTGTTCCTCCTCCCGTCATTATCATACACCTGTCTGTTTTCGCCTGGATCGTGCCTTCATAGGGGGCTCCACTTCGGGTCTCAACGGGAGTCCTCGATCGACTGCGGTCCCACACCGGTTTCGACGCACACCTCAGTTGGATCGCGCACCGTAGGGAGCTCAGCTTCCCTTTGCGCGCTTGGTCCGCTGTCCCACATCCGCACTGCCCGGGGCTACATCCCTATCGCGGCGCGCTACCTATGAGGAGAGGGTCAGACCCGTCGTTACTCGCAGCTGCAAAGGCTTGGGGCATTCGCCTGGCCAATGTTTTAGTTCGGTTGAACGTTGCGTTTTGTTCGATGCGCCTCGGAGATGGGATGTAGCGGGGCACCACTGGCATGGCCAACCGTGCGTTCGATCTCGCGTCTGAAGCAGCGAGCAACGCGCAACTTGCATGTCGGAAGCAAGATTCGTGAGTTGGCATGGTAGTCCCTCTCTCTATGGAGCGAGGGGCATAAACGCATGTCTTGTTTCCCAGGAGGGAGAGGAGGAGGAAGAGGAGGAGGAGTAGCCGCAGCCGCCGCCGAAGAAGCCGAAGACAGGCGGGGGGGGGCAGGGGTCGCCCAGTCGCAGTGAGAGAGGGTCCAGGGTTTGGTGGTTGAGGGGACGTAGAGGGGACGTAGAGGGTTGAGAGAGGGTCCAGTTGACCTTCCGATCGGAGGGCACGTAGAGGGGACGTTCTCCCAAGTCGGGTTTGGGGTCGAGCCCAGCTGGACTCTCACGGTTCCTGCTTCCAGGGCAGCCCGACCAGAGCGAGTTTCCCCTCAGCCCACTTCTGCCCCTGCCCCACCTGTACGTCCCTCCGGCCCGAGAGAGTCCCCTCCCCCCCCTGCCGCAGCCAGGCGGGGGGGGAAGGGCACGGTGCCCTGTGGGGGGGGGGGGCGCCAGGCCCAGACACCTGGCGGCTCGGAGACGGTGAGCACGGCCGTCTGTTTGCCATTTTGGCCATACAGACTACAGCTGCTAGCACGCATCCAACTGCAGTTCCTACTGCAGCTCCCCCTGCTTATGCTGGTTCAGCTCCCACTTCACTTCCTACTGCAGGCAGTTGTGCAGCTTCCACGACAGTTCTAATCACAGCTGCTACCACAACCAATAGTACAGCTCCCTTTATAGGTCTGACTACACCTGCTACTACAGCTCCTACTACATCTCCGACTTCAGCCTCCACAGTAGTTCCTACTACAGCGACTCGTGCAGCTCTCAATGCAGATCTTACCGAATCCTTATCCCACGACGGTGACTACATCTCCGAGTACTGGTCTTACCGGAGTTCGTACTACAGCCGGTAGTGTAGCCTTTACTGCAGCTTTTAATACAGCTCCTGGTGCCGCACCTATTACAGCTCGTGGTCCTCCCCGCCTCCTCCCCCTTCCTGCAAAAGGGTAGCGCTTCTCGCACCCGGAAGCGTTATTCCCGCACCAGAAGGATGTTGTGGCTCTCGCCTTAGCGCCGTGCGCATTCGCTTCAAAACTTGCGAGGGTTTTGAGTGTGGTTTTTGGCTTTCGCCCTAGCGCCGCGCACACTCGTTTCAAAATCTTACAAGAGTTTCACGGATTGAGGGCGGCTCGTTTTCAAAATGTGGCTCTCGCCGCAGCGCCGCGCACATTCGCTTCCAACATGTGCAAAAGGTTCACGGATCGAGGGCGGCTCGTTTTCAAAATGTGGCTCTTGCTTCAGCGCCGCGCGCATTCGTTTCAAAAACGTTACCAGAGCTTCACGGATGGAGGGCGGCTCGTTTTCAAAATGTTCTCTCGCCTCGGCGCTGCGTACATTCGTTTCAAACATTTCCAGGGCTTCACGGATGGAGAGTGGCTCGTTTTCAAAATCTGGCTCTCGCCGCAGCGCCACGCGCATTCGTTTTGAAAACGTTGCAAGAGCTTCACGGATGGAGGGCGGCTCCTTTTCAATATGTAACTCTCGCCGAGGCGCCGCGTACATTCGTTTCCAAAATTCGCAGGGCTTCACGGATGGAGGGCGGCTCGTTTTCGAAATGTGGTTATCACTTCAGCGCCGCGCACATTCGTCTTGAACATGTTGCAATACTTTCACGGACTCAAGGGGGGCTCGTTTTCAAAATGTGGCTCTCGCCGCAGCTCCGCGCACATTCGTTAACCAGAAATTTGCAAGAGTTTCACGGAAGGAAGGCGGCTCGTTTTCAAAAGGTTGCTCTCGCCCCAGCGTCGCGCGCATTTGTTTTGAACAAGTTTCAAGAGGTTCCCGGATGGAGGGCGGCTCGTTTTCAAAATGTAACTCTCGTTTCAGCGCCTCGAGCGCTCGCGTGGAACATTTGCAAAAGCTTCACGGATGGAAGGCGGGTAGTTTTCAACATGTGGTTCTCGCCGTAGCGCCGCGCACATTCGCTTCCAACATTTGCAAAAGGTTCACGGATCGAGGGTGGCTCGTTTTCAAATGTGAGTTTCGCTTCAGCACCGCGTTTTGGAAACGTTGCAAGAGCTTCACGGATGGAGGGCGGCTCTACTGTTCTATTCTATTATTCGACTACTACCTACTACTCTACTGCTACTACTGATACTGGTACTTCTACCACCACCACTACCACTACCACTACCACTACCACTACCACTACCACTACCACTACTACCGTTACTACTACTACTACTACTACTACTACTACTACTACTACTACTACTACTACTACTACTACTACTACTACTACTACTTTTACTACTACTTCTACCACTACCACTTCTACCACTACCACTACTACTACTACTGCTACTACTACTACTACTACTACTACTACTACTACTACTACTACTACTACTACTACTACTACTATCACCACCACTACTACTACTGCTACTACTACTATTTCTACTACTACTACTACTTTTACTATCACTTTTAGAAATACCACTACTACCACCACTGTTACTGCTACTGCTGCTACTACTTTTATTATTACTATCACTACTACCACTACCACTACTACTACTACTACTACTGCTGCTACCACTACTACTACTACTACTACTACTACTACTACTACTACTACTACTACTACTACTACTACTACTACTACTACTACTACTACTACTACTACTACTACGACGCGTTTAGTGTAACTACTACTACGCGCAGTATTATCATTATTTTTTTAATTTTACTACCCGTACGCTAACCACTATTACTTCTACGACTAACTACTACTTACTACTACTACTACTACTACTAACTACTACTACTATATACTACTACGACTACTACTACTACACTACTATATACTAGTGATCCTACTACTACTACTACTACTACTACTACTACTACTACTACTACTACTACTACTACTACTACTACTACTACTACTACTACTACTATTAACACTACTACTACTACTACTACTACTACTACTACTACTACTACTACTACTACTACTACCACTACTACCACTACTACTACTACTACTACTACTACTACTACTACTACTACTACTACTACTACCACTACTACTGCTGCTGCTGCTGCTACTACTACTACTACTACTACCACTGCTTTTATTATTACTACGACTACTACTACGACGACGACGACGATTACTACGACCTTGAATCTCGAGAGGGCGGGCCAGTTTGAGGATTTGCAGAGCGCGGGCAAGGATATCATCATCATCATCATCATCATCATCATCATCATCATCATCATCATCATCATCATCATCCTCATCCTCATCCTCATCCTCATCATCATCATCACCACCATCATCATCAGCGTCCTTTATGGTGCGATCTCTGGGAAAACGTTGAGTGCCCCCCCCTGGGCCCCGAACTTTATCATCCCCAGGGTTTTAAGATCATGGGGCACGGGGTTAGCGTCGTCGGTATCTCTCTAAGACTAACTTCGTGGGTGCGGGCCCGCGGGAGGCCTCCCCGCTTCCAGCACTGGCCCGCGCGCCCGGATTTGGACCTCCCGCGGCTCCCGTTGGCCAACAGCCACGGCACCAACGGCCATTCGTGCTTTGGGCCGCTCTTGCGTGTGGCAGGGGGAAGGGTTACGTATGAAGGGAGGGGATCGAGGTTCGGTGTCCGAGGATCGACGTTGTAAGGGCGTGCCCCATTCTCCTTTTGGACGGCTTTGGGAGGGTGCTCGTCGCCACGGCGGGGCCCGCCTCGAGATTCTGGCCCCAACGCGCTTCGGAAAAGAGGCCGGGAGCTGACTTCCAGGGGGGCTTTTCCAGGAGCCCCCTGCTCCGCCCCGGGAGGGTGAAGGAAGCTCACCAGTCCTGGCCGGGCCCGTCCGGGGACCAGGATCGGTGTATCTGTGAGGCGTTCCACAGAGGGCCCCCTGCCTTCGAGGATCGGAAGGAATTGTCGTCTGTTCCTCGGCGGAAGGCGGCGGGAGAGCGGCGGAAGGTCGGCGGAAGTAAAACGAGGCCGCCTCCGCCAGCGGATGCTGGCGGAAGGCTGGCGGAAGGCGGCGGAAGTAAAAGATGCGTCCCCAAGAGATGAAAACGCTTCTGGGTGCAGGGTTTCCGAAATCGCCCATATGCCTCCCTGGCCGAGCCAGGAGGGCGTATCCCGATCCTGGGCCCAGCTGGCACCCGCGAGGTGCACAGCTTACGCCCCCCAGGGAAGGGTGCTCGGCACGAACGAAATTGGTACGGAAAGAGTGGGTACAAAGCCCAACAGCAGTGCCTGCTCATTTTGAACAGGTCTCGCTGTCCATGTCCATTTGAGACAGACGGCTGCCTGCCCGACAGCGGCCGCTGCTGGTTTGGGACAACATTTGCTGTTGGGCATTTTGCCCCATTTTTTCGTACCCATTCCAGGTGACCTACAGTCGGCCCGCATAGCAAGGATAGGCATCCCTTCCAAGGGTACCCTTGCATCCTTGCCTCCTCGGTCCATCCTTCGCCGCTTTCGCTGGCCGCGCCCCGCTCGAAAAGCTTCGAAATGGGCGTCCAGGGCCCTTGCATCCTTATCGCGCATCCTTGCTATATTTGTGGAGGACGATCAATGGAGAGGAAGCATGTTGCCAAATCATTTCCAGATGTCTAAAACATGCGTTAAACATGTTTTAAACATGTAAAAGCATGTTTAAAACATGCTTATAACATTCTCCTACATTTTACACACATTTAAACTCAATGATAGGACTGTTAGGGTGTCCATTGTCGTGGCATTCGCAATACTATACGGGTTGACTGTACCCATGTCGGGTGTCTTGAGCTGGGGCGTGACAAACGCCCGCGCGCTCTCCCCGCAGGGCAGGTGCGGGCCCCAGGCGCCCCGGGGGCACGGTCCGCTGCTGCAGCGCGCGCGCGCACGGCTGACAGCCATCCGACGCCCTGCCAGGCTGAAGACGTGGTCCAAGGAGGAGGAGGAGGAGGAGGAGGAGGAGGAGGAGGAGGAGGAGGAGGAGGAGGAGTTGGAGGGAAGAGGAGGAGGAGGAGGGGGAGGGGGAGAGGAGGAGGGGAAGGGGGAGGGGAGGAGGAGGAGAGGGAATGAGTAGGAGGAGGCAGGGGGAGGAAGGGGGTTGGGGGAGGAAGGAGGAGGAGGAGGGGGAGGGGGAGGGGGAGGAAGGAGAGAGGGGATGATTATGAGGAGGAGGAGGATGAGGAGGAGGAGGGGGAGGGATGAGGAGGGGAGGGGGAGGGGGAGGGGGAGGGTAGGAGGGTGGGATGATGGATGAGGAAGAGGAGCAGGAGGAGGAAGAGGAGCAGGAGGAGGAGGACGGGGAACAGGATGAGGAGGAAGAGGAGGAGGAGGAGGAGGAAAAGGAGGAAAAGGAAGAGGGAAAGGAGGAGGAGGAGGAGTGATGATGATGGTGATGGTGATGATGATGATGAGGAGGAGGAGGAGGAGGAGGAGGAGGAGGAGGAGGAGGAGGGCCGCTGCGGCCGGCGGCGGCGGCGGCCGCGGCGGCGGCGGCAGCAGGTCCGAGAGGTCGCGCGCAAGGTGCAGGCCGAGAGGCCGCGCGCACCCATGGCCACTCCGGCGACGGGCGATGATCCTCAGGACGTGTATTAGCTCAGTGTGTGCTTACCCCGCTCAACCCAGCCGGTCGATCATACATCGTCTTCGTCGTAGTGGAGGCCCTCGGTGGGAAAGCACACGCTGGCGCTAACACATGTTCCGAGGGTCATCGAGGAGAGCGCATCGCGCTCGCCTCGAAGGACGAAGTCGGGCACGCGCTTCACATGCATTGTGAGGGGTCCGCGGATTCGGCATGTGGGCGCCAGGTCCACGGATCGGGGTAGGGATACGTGCCCTCGGAAACGTGAGGCAAGTGCCGCTCGATTCGGCGACGGGGCGCGCCGTGTCTGCGCGGCAGCGGGACCCGCCGCTGCCATCCGCGCGTCGCCACGTTCCCGCTTCCTCGGCGTCGTCTTCCTCGTCCTCGTCTCGTCGTCGTCGTCGTCGTCGTCGTCGTCGTCGTCGTCGTCGTCGTCGTCGTCGTCGTCGTCGTCATCGTCGTCGTCCTCGCCCTCCTCCTCGCCCTTCTCCTCGTCCTCGTCCTCGTCCTCGTCCTCGTCGTCTTCCTCCTCGTCGGTCGGTGGGTCGCTGGGTCGGCCGTCGTCGGCTCGCCTCCGGCCGCCCCTGCGGGCCTCCCGCCGCGCCCGCCCGCGCGGCGCCGCGCGCGATGTCGGTGGTCGGCAGGCTGCGCCCGGCGCTGCTGCGGGGGGGCGCGGCGGCCAGCGCGGCGGCCCTGGGGGCCGCGTACTACCAGCGCCTCCCGGAGAGCCACGGAGACCACAGGACTGCGGACGCACAGACACATACCAGTACCATACATCCTCCTCGGAGGCGCGCGTCCGACCCTAGCATAATAGTATACACCTCTTGTAGTATATCGTTTCCCGAGCGGTGCGGCCAGAAAGCGCCCGCCACGACGCATATACTAGAAGATTTCTCGGTGCGCGCGTCGCCCCTGGGGGGGCGACGCGCATATAGTATAAGCATGTTGGGGTGGCGCCGAGGACTGGCCGCGGGGGAAGGGGGGCGTCATAGAGTTGCAGGGCGCGCGTGCGAACTAGGGTCGCAGGACGCGCGGGCTTGCCGAGCAGGTCGGCGCGGAACGGGCAGGGCAGGACCGGGGGGGGAGCTCGAGGTGCCCGCGTTCCGCCGTGGCCATGACGAGACCGACGCCGCCCGTTTGCGCGATGCGACTGGCCCCCCCATCTCTGGACCCCCCATCAACTCACGGCCAACAGGAGCGGGGCTGCCGCGCCAACGGGGAGAGCATGCTGCTTCGCATGAGTCTGATGCCCACCATCAGCATCATCATCACCATCAGCATCATCATCACCATCATCATCATCATCATCATCATCATCATCATCATCATCATCATCATCATCGTCATCATCATCATCATCATCATCATCATCATAATCATCACCATCACCATCATCAGCACCATCATCAGCAGCAGCATCATCATCAGCAGCATCATCATAATCCTCCTCCTCATCATCATAATCATCATCATCATCATCATCATCATCATCATCATCATCATCATCATCATCAACACCGCCATCGCCATCAGCATCAGCAACAGCATCATCATCAGCAGCATCATCAGCTTCAGCAGCAGCATCAGCATCATCATCAGCATCATCATCATCAGCATCATCATCATCATCAGCATCATCATCTGCTTCGCATGAGTTTGATGCCAGTGAGCGGAATATGACTTGGGTCCGTCAGTGGATCAAACTCGTGCACCTGCGCAGAAGCTATGATGCTCCTTTTTGGTGGTGGGCCAGCTTATGATGCCAACCCGTGCCCACCCCGTCCCGTCTCCAGGGACTCCGCATCCCCCTATGATGGTGGGACGGGGAGACGGTCCGCCGCCCCCTGCGTTGCACGTACCGCGCAGGGTTCGTGGTGCCGGCCCCCCCTGGCTGGCCCGCGTCTGGGAGCCGCGCGGGGCCGCTGCCCGCCCTCTCTCCGCTCTCCGCCGGTCCGGGGGCCCTGGAGCTGTACGGGCTTCGCGGCAGGGCCCCGGCCGAGCCGGGTGTGGGCCGACCCGGGTCACAGTACGCGCGGGTCGTGTGGAGGGCAGGCAGTTTTGAACCCCCAGGCCCCACTCTGTTTGACAGGTGCCTTCCTGCTTCCAGGGCCGATCTGCTCCTGCTGTGCTCTGTGGTTCTCTGGGAGGGCCCGAGCCCGATCTGCCTTGTCCGCCTTCCCACTTCATTCGAGTCGCGCATGTCCTTCTACAGGAGGAAGATTCAAAAATAGTCAAAGCATCGTCTGGGGACGTTTTGTTTGAACATGCTTTGACTATTTTGGTGTACTGCTTACTTTTTCGCCCCAAATCCGCTTGTAGGGGAGCATGCCCGAGCTACCACTTCATGTCTGCACCTGCGTCCTCCGACCGACATGCAGTGCGCCCCCCCCCCGACAGGAGCGCGTGGTCAGAGGGCACGGGCACGCGCGTCTACCGCACCTTCCTGTGGCCCCTCGTCGCGCAGCTCGACCCCGAGGACGCGCACCTGGCCGCCCTCCGCGCCGGGCAGGCCTGGCAGGCCGCGCGGGCCTGCCTGGAGGCCCTCAAGGATTATGATGCTCCAACCTGCTTCAGCCTTGAGCGCCAGGAAGAGTCTCGAGCACCAGGAGAGCACCGAAGCGTGAGGGCTTTCACGTGCCGGGCCCCGGGAGGCGACACTCGTTCGGCACCGTTTCGATACTCTCCTGGGCGCTCGAGATCCTTTCCGGGATGTGGTCCGTAAGTACGATGGGAGCAACATGCGGCGGCGAGCGAGGGGGGAAAGTGAGAAGGGGCGGGCCTGCTCAGAAGTCTCGGAAGTCACCCGGCCTTCTGAGAAGTTTTCTAAGCCCTCCCCAGAGACAGACAAAACTTCTCAGAAGGCGCGAGGGCCTCTGAGAAGTCCCGCCGCCTTCGCAGAAGGCCTTCTCCTTCTCACTTCCCCCCCTCGCTCGCCGCCAAAACATGACGCAAGGAGCTCCCCCTGGCGTGGCTGGTGCTGCCGGCGCCGTCGCAGTCGGTGCCGTCGGGCCCGGCGCTCCGGCAGGCGCTCTTCGGCGGCCGCCTTTGCTTCGAGAGCCCCGTGGGCCTCGCGGCCGGCTTCGACAAGAACGGGCTGCTGGTGCCCCTCTACCGCCTGGGCGCCCTCCCGGGCCTCGGCTTCGCCGAGGTAGCTCCTCGTTCTCCTCCTCCTTTTCCTCCTCCTCCTCCTCCTTTTCCTCCTCCTTTTCCTCCTCCTCCTCCTCCTCCTCCTTTTCCTCCTCCTCCTCCTCCTCCTCCTCCTCCTCCTCCTCCTCCTCCTCCTCCTCCTCCTCCTCCCCCTCCCCCAACGAGGTGGGCTCCGTGTCCGCGCAGCCCGCCGCGGGCAACCCGCGGCCCAGGTGGGCGACGAAAGCAAGTAGTATGGGGGGCTCGGCTGCGCCGACCTCCGCGCTTAGAAGGTCGCGCGCAAGCGCCCTCGTTTGCGACGTAGCCTGCCGCGCTGGCTGCCCGCGTGCAGTCAACGCGCCCAGTAAGGGGGGCTCGCACCTTCATCCAGGATGCCCTTGTGTCCTTGCCTCTGCGGCCCGTCCTTTGCCGTTTTCTCTGGCTTCCTACCGCCCGAAGAATCCCAACCTCGGCTTCCCGTCCTTCCTGCACGGTTTTGACCGTAGCGCGGCGCGCCAGCTGCCTGCGTGAGCCGCCGCGCAGAGCCGCTGCGCCACCTCGCGCAAGACCTGGTGCTTCTCTAGGAGGCCACATGCGAACCCTACCCCTACCCCCCACGATTTCCGAGGGGGAGGGTGGGGTTCACTTCGCTCGGGAGCTCTCGAACGAAGTGAACCACTTTTTGTTCCCCTACTGGTTCTTCTCGCCGCCCAGGTGCTGGCGCGTGCCCTCCGACGAGGCCGTCATCAACTTCATGGGGCTGAACAACGACGGGGCCGAGGCCGTCGCGGAGCGCCTCGCGGCGGGGGCCGCGCGCGGCGGGGCGCCCGTCGGCGTGAACATCGCCAAGACTCACAGCCCGTCCATCCTGGGCGACGAGGCTCCAGGACTCCCAGAGGGGGTCGGAGCTGCTGGGGTCGGAGGTCCGCTCCGCGTCGCCGACGCACGGCGATGCGGCTCGATGTGGGATCCGATGTTCTCCACGCCGGCGTCGCCGATGCATCGCCGACGTCGCCGGTGCGGCGCGAGATCCTCCGACCCTGTCTATTCCGACCCCACGCGGGAGGCCTCGAGAGGCCGTGCAGGACTTCGTGGCCAGCTTCCGCCGGCTCGCTCGCCACGCGGACTTCGTGGTCCTCAACGTCTCCTGCCCGAACACCACAGAGGCCTCAGCTGCCCCGATACGTTCGTTCTGAAACGCAACACGTACCGTGCTCAAATCGTCAGTGTCAATACGTTGCGTGTTGGCTCAGCGTATCGGCCCACGTTCTTGCGAACGTATCGCGCCATACCCACGTTTTCTGTCTGCGTGTCTAGCTCCGTATCAGCACGCCACGTGCTGCGTGTTGCGCATCGGGCAGCTGAGCACGGAGGGCAAGACCTTCGAGGAGCCGTCCGCCTTGCGCGGGCTGCTGGAGGCCATCGCGCGGGAGCGGCCCGGGGCGGCGCCGCCCGTGCTGGTGAAGCTCGTCGCGCCGCCCGACACACCCGAGGGCCGCGGCCGGCTGCGCGAGCTCGTGGGCGTGCTGCAGGCGTCCGGGGCCGTGGACGGCCTCGTGCTCTCGAACACGGTGCCCCACTTTTTGCATCTTCGGGAGGAGGAGGAGGAGGAGGAGGAGGAGGAGGAGGAGGAGGACAGGAGGAGGAGGAGGAGGGAGGAGGAGGAGGACGGAGGAGGGAGGAGGGGAGGAGGAGGAGGAGGTGGACGAGGAGGAGGAAGGAGGGAAGTACGAGAAGGAGGAGGAAGAGGAGGGGGGGGAGGAGGAGGAGGAGGAGGAGGAGGAGGAGGAGGAGGAGGAGGAGGAGGAGGAGGAGGAGGAGGAGGAGGAGGAGGAGGAGGAGGGGGAGGGGGAGAGGAGGGAGGGGGAGGGGGAGGGGGAGGATGAGAACCAGGGGGAGGACGAGGACCAGGGGGATAGCGGGGACAAGGAGGAGGAGGAGGAGGAGGAGGAGGAGGACGTGCATGTAAATGGCGGTCCATTCCTGTACTTCAACGTAGGCTCCATGCGGCTTCGACGTGTATCCTGCGTGGATTCGACGAAGATTTGACGCGGATTCGGCACGTTCGACATTGAGAGCTCTAGGCCTTCCAGATGGGGTCCGAGTGGATGGGGCCGGGGGATCGCGCCGCAGCGCCGATGCATCGGAGGTGCGGCTCGATGTGGAGCCCGACCTTCTCCACGCCGATGTCGCCCATGCATCGCTGGCGTATCTGGTGCATCGACGATGCATCGGCGATGCGGCGCGATCTTCCGACTCCCTCAACTCCGACCCCATCTCGGAGGCCTCTAGGTGC